TTCGAAAAAATAGATTTTTCATATGTTTTACTATGTGATCGACAAAAATTACGTAGACTTTTGTCCAGTGAGTGTACATATCGAAATTTTAGTCCAATAAACGTCTCTTATAGACAAAACGGGAAAATAGAGTATGCCCAGGAATAAACATACGTGTCAGACTTGCATATCTTGTGATTTTGTCGTCATAGTATGTATCCAGCACAGTACAATGCTGAACAAGCAAACACTGAATAAGGCCCCCCCCCCCTCTTATTGGACATTACAACACAAGAATACACTACCAAAAAAGTATTTGCCGGATTTTGCCGATCAATAAGAAAACATATGAAAAATCTATTTTCTCGACATTCGTATTTGCCAATGAATTTTGTATTGATTTGAAGCTAATTGATTGCATTCTTCGAAAAAAAAATGTTGTATTTAAACTTACTATCGTTAAATCGCAGTTCAATGAAGTAACAGTAATAAGTTACACATGGGGCATGACCAGACAAAGTGAACATTTGATTATGTAGTGATGTTAACCAATGTGATTGATGAGATAGTGCTCATCTTAACTTATGGACTTGTTTTCTTTTACTATCGTGAAGACTGAAGAAATTTTAACGCGAGCCTGATCAAGCGACCAGAAACACGCTTATTTATGTAACACTACATTATTGGGGGTAGTTCCCCTCCCTACAGTCACATCGGCAAAACTGAAAATGTGCCCGTAGAAAAAAATCACTAGCTTCGCAATGTCCAAAAGTTCATATAGAACAATAAAATATACAAGTGATGATTCTAGCGTAGAAGTATTACCAGTACAATTAAAAGAAGCTCGAATAGGTTTGGAGACTGCTATTAAATTTTTCGAGCAACAACCAGACGATCTAGGTTTTGATATCAAAGACTTGCGTGTTTTTCGAAAATACTGAATGTCAAAGAGTTTCAATTGACACAATAACAATTACTTTGGAAGTTAACTTCATTGTTATTTCCTGTACTTGATTTTCTCATTATAATAAAGATAACATTCGCATAATATAATCTAATCACATGACTATACGCAAATCTCATTTTCAGTTTTGCCGATGTGACTGTAGAAAGGCTATAATGTAGTGTTACATAAATAAGCGTGTTTGATCAGGTTCGCGTTTCTTCTTCAGTCTTCACAGTGGCAAAAGAAAACAAGTTAATTAACAAGGTCAAAAATTTTAATACCAAAAAACTTATCGAATTTTTATCTGAAGAAATACAGCTAGACGAGGTTGATATTATCCGCGAGAAAAGGTCTCTGGTCGTGCTTTTATTAAGTTGACTGAAGATAAGCTTGAAGAATGGGGACTGGCTGGTGGATCAATTTTAGCAATCGTAGATTTCATTGAGAAACTCAGAGGTGAAGAGTATGGTAGGTATCTTCCATGCTTCTTCCACATATTCTTTTAAAATTAAAGAAAGTACTATTTCCATTATTTAGAATCCTCCAGTAAGCGGGGAAAGGTTGAAGAAGATATGACCACAAGCAGGAAAAGGAAATACGATGAGGAAGAAAATGGTTCAAAACACCGCCACTTAGATCTCTTCCGAACGAAGATTCCCTTTTTGATACTCCGAATAAACGTCAGATGTCTGACGAAAAAGTTATCCAGTGAGTTCGTGTTCACAGCATGTTTCTGATTTTAGAGCAATTTTATTAATTAGATTTTTTTATTAGATACTAGCTATCTTAATGCCATGGAACATTCACTGAAACAAAATCAAGTTACCGTTCAGACGCCTTCCTTGTGGACGGAATCTCGAAGTTCTTACATCGACGATGTTTTGAAGGTGCGTTTTTCACAGATATTAGTTGGTATATGTTGGAAGTGACAGCGGCTTAGCTACTCATTTACAGAAATCGGGGGACGAGTTTAAGATGGAGATTATGCGAAAAATCGAGGGTGACGAAAGCAACAAGTTTCGTCTTTACTGCGAAAAAGTCTTAATGGACTTGTGAGTTGATCATTAATTGCTGTTCTTTAGATAATTAGACGCTTAATAATCTTTCTTTCTCGATTTCAGCTATAATCTAGTAGATGTATTTCCTCATCTTTTGAGAAATAGAAAATACATTGTACAAAATGTTTCTTCGTTATTTAAATTTTACGAATCCACGTTTGGAAATTTGTATTTCGACTGGATCGAGACCCATTCATCAGCATCGAAATTAATAAAATCACGTATTTACTCCGGCATTGCCAAGGTGGATGTGAAAGGTGAGCAATAAAGGTTTAGTTATAACTTTACCTTATGGAAGGCGTTCGGGTCTATGATGATAAAGAAATTTTCCACGCAAATGTATCGGGTCCGCCGTCATCGTCATCACAACATGGACGTGCTGTCATCGATACAACAAAATCCATACATACTGACATCTTGAACCTGGTTGCGATTCTCCTTGACTACCTTCGAGCTCCGGTAGAAATTGCAACTAAGATTAAAGTTTTTAGTTTGCAAGTAATTGATAAATATTTTGTATTTTATTTTTAAAAAAGGTATTTAAGTTATTGATGTGTATTTTAATTAACTAATAGAATATTGTATTACGTTATACTCTCTCAATATGTCAAAAAATGGCACTTTTTTGACTTCCGAACTGTATTCTACCTTGTTACCGTTTTGATTCGATGCGATATCGAAGTACAGGGGAATCCTCTATATGATGGCGATTTCCACGTAAGTAAAATTATTGTAATCACAATTTTTATTAGTCTTTAATCATTCACAAATTTCTATGGGTTTCAGGAAGAGATTACGAAACAAATTTCAGTTATGGAAAACCTTGACTTAACAATCGATTATAATGAAGGAGGTACAGTTCGGGATGTGTTAAAAATTCCAAAACCTTTGAAGGATCTTCTACGTGAATACGGAAAATAATTGTTGTAGCTAATACAAATGTATTCTCGACTTTAAAGACTTTATATTATAAGGAAATTGTAATTGAAATTATTTGTTAGAAAAGTTTCGCTTGTACATATGTGAGCATATTTTTATACGGCAAATTATCTTCAAATCTTGTGAAAAAACGTATACCGAAAAATCAGCCTATCCGGCTTTGCAAAAAAAAAATAAAGACAGATTGCATATATTGTATAGATTGGTCATGAAGTATTTAAAGTTTCGAGTTTACTCAATGAGAACCAATTCTCGAAGATGCTCAGGAATAACTACATGTGGTTCTTCGTAATACCAACATATCTTAAAGCCTCTTCGCACAATTCTCTCTTGAGTTGATCCCGTGCAAGCCTCTCTCCTGTAATTGGCGTTTTGAAGTATTTACTATATTCCAATGGTTATTGCTAAGTAAAAGAGATATCCGCTATAGTAATTGCTCGCTATAGTTTGCTATCGCTGCGATGTGGGTATATATTAAGCTATCTAATAATAATAAGGGAGATTTGATCATCAATACTGATCCAATCGTAATAAACTTGACGTTAGAATGTTGTTGACGTAAGCGGCATCTTAAGTCCTGGGAAATAACTTTCTCTAAACAATTAAAAATTTTGTTTCAGCTAGCTGAAATATAATTTGACACAAAATAGAACAAGATGTAGAAATAGAACTTTAATTCTTCGAACATACTACTCAGCAAATTATCAGATCGTGGCACAATTCCACTTTTTGCTTGACCTACGTAGTGTTACATAACCTGTTCTTATAATACAGAATGCTGTAAAGTTATTTTAAGTAACCCGGTTGATTAAATTTGTTATGATTTTGTATTAATCTTGAAAATTATACATTTTCCCAATGTCAAGTTTAATGCGTGGGACAAGTGAACATAACGCCGCGGAAAGAGTTTAAAAACACCACAGATATTTTATTCTTTCACTTTGCGTCTTGCCTCGGCATTGTTAAATAATCTTGCACAGTCATCAATCATGTCAAGGCCACGAGTCTTGGTTTGCGAATAGTTTTGTATTTCACAATATATGCCTTTCTCTGATCTGGAGGAAGCGTGAAAGGTCTCATGTGATTCGGTAAGCTTTTTACCACAATCGCATTACAACCATCTCCAAGAATCGTCATATGCTAATCTTATCTTTGTGTATAGTAATTTGCATGTGACTGACATGATAGTATTTTGTACGGTTATTTTATTGGAAGCGGCTTCCAATAATCAAGTCTTTTGTATGCTAAATGCTAACTATTTGGCAAAATAATAAAATCAAATCTATTTGTTGATGAGATTACAGAGAACGCCTTTTTTTCCCACACCGCACTGTAGCTTGCTAAATACCGATGCTTGTTTTGGTCTAAAGGTCGCATAATTTAGCATCATTACTAGATAAAATGATAGATTTGTTTATGATAAATTAATCCCTAATATAAATTTTATTGCTCGATAATTCATTGCATTTGATAAAATATAAAATACATAAATTAGTCTGTCTATATACAAATATCAAATTCCCACTTTCTTACTAAATTGAGTCGCTCTCGATTTCCGCCGTATCATCATCCTCGGTTGCATCAGTATCTTTTTTAGATGAGCAACAATATTTTCCAAGAGCCTTAGCCACTTTTATGACGATCACGACAAATAACAATAAAGAAATAATGCCTTCGAATCCGAGCGCAACATATTTAAACACACTAGTTGTGCATTTGCTCAATCCTGGGAACAACAGGACCATAACCGCAATTCTCAAAAAAGATATGAATATATTCAATGCGTTCATCAACCATGTCATATAAGGCTTAAAAAGTAGAAGTGACAGGAAGAATAGTGTTTCGATAACAATCAAATAGATTGTTTGTGCGGTACCGCTTACGCGAGCAGCTCCGATACCGATAGCTCGAACCATGTCATAAGCGGTCGTGAAAATGAAAAACCATATGCGTGTCTTTTTTGGGTCTTTCCCTTCATCATCCGTATACTGCGTGTAAAAGGCACCGTAAACGAATTCGTGAACTGGTGTCTTGAACGCGTCTGGATTAAAGTACATGTCCCGCATAATTCTGAACGTACAAAAGCCGGTGATGCCAAAAGTGAAAAACGCAATACAAAGTGCAGCAAGAAAACGCAAGAACCAGCAGTCGAAATGAAGTGTTAGTTGATAGACGGCAAAAAGTGTGAGCGGGCTGTTAAACAGGAGCACCTGGACATTAAAAAGTACAAGTAAAAAAAATTATTATGGTCAAGTTCAATTCAGTCAGTTCAAAAAAAAACAAAGTCGTATAGTCGCATTACCACTCGCAACGCTCCACCTGCACGATAAAAAACCAATGTTAGAATGTCACATTGCGTCATGTTTCACACATGCAAGATTTTTGCTTACCAATGAACAAAAGAGGAATGTTATTCCAACATTTTTCCAAAATGGGCCATTTTCCCCACCAATGTTTGAGCAAACGTGATACTAACACAAGGATGAGGACAGCACCTACTGCACACGCCAACGCTATACAGAATATGATGAACACCATGAAGAACATATTATAGCTGGGAATGTTTAGCATTTCTCCGAAAGACGTGAACCCAGAAGAGAGCGGTTTCAACTGTGGTCTGCAAAATGTTGACATAGTTAAGTTCTCCACGTTAACCGAACAGCCATTGACGAGCGTGTTGCATATTCCTCCCCGAATTTTGTCGTCCGCGATTTTTGACAAGGTACCATTAAAGCCGCTTGAAGGTACACCGCTAAACCATGCAAGTTTGACCGATATGTCCCGGAACAAGGGTGGGAGACAAAACAATGAGAGCAGAGCATTGCTTACGACAAACTGAGCAGCACGAAAAATATCATATACGGAAGGAATTTGTGCTGATAATGGGACTTGTTTGGCCGGTTCTCTACCTAGTTCGGCCCCATCCTTTGCGGTTTCGTCCTCTGCGGATTCCTCCTTTTTCTGTCTTTTAGTCACTTTCTTTTTGGCAAGCGCTTTGGTTAACTGTGCCTGCATTGCGGTGATCTGTTGTACCACACCAACGGCCAAAACGATAATTGCACCGACTATGAAGGGAATGTTAATCACATTTGTGACGTTGCCTGACACCGAGGAGGGCCAATCGGCATTGCCAATGGGAATTACGGCGCAACCCGTAAGATCGGTATTAAAGTTATCGTGTAGGTAAAACTTCGCAAAGATGTCGTTGTGGGTAGCTTGATAAAGTTTGCCAAGCGAGTCTATGTTTATGAATTATTTGATTAACGAATGGACGAACAACCCAAGCATTGTAACAGACAACAATAACGCAACGAGTCCTTACCGTCTGTGTCGGCATTTTTGTTATAAGAAAAGAGAAATGTAGTGGGTGATCCAATTGCAACTTCACATTTCCATTTTTCATTCCCACTGTTGCCTTTACCGCATGGTATATCAACAATGTGAAGTGTATTGTCGTCCATAGGCAACAATAAAATTTTTGGATCTTGTTGATAACTTAACGTCACTGGAATATTATTATTAATTAGATCTAACAACATTAATTTTGATATGAAAATCGGCACAATAATGTCAATTACCTGTAGCATTACCCAACGTTACTGCATTTTCTGTAAAGAGATATGCAGATAATGTATCCGGGCTACTAATGAGGTAGAACTCTGTAAATTGTATCGATCCTCCGCAATTCCTGAGGCTATGTGTAAGTTGCTCAGTCGGACTGTCGACAGGTAGAAATGGACGATATCTTTTTTCAATCGTTGCTGGTCGGGCCGATGATGTAAACGGTTTGACTAAATTTGCTGTGACTGCTGTCACGCACAATAATACTATTAGAAAGTAAATATTAAAACTAGCAACAAAATTGCTCTGCATATTTGCACAATTGACTGTAAAAAAGCCAAATACTATGTAAAAGTGGGAACAAGGATGGGTCCTTTTTTATGAGAAAATCTAGGTGGTTACTGACCTTGTATGAATCCATTTTCAACAAAACAATAAGACGGACTTGAAGCGCATGATTACTATTTAAAATTGTTTCACTTTTGTCATACCAAAATATACGTTTAGACCATTTAACTGTTTAGGGAAAAACAATTCACGAATTCCTTTTTTATGAAATTGGCGACATGACTAACAAACACGAAACACGAAGCATTACAAGAAGATGTGCCTACACAGTCAAGCGAAGCATAACGTGAAAAAACTTTAACGTTTTTATCAAACGGAAAGCATAGCGAGCACGAATGGGTTTTTTCCATGCCAAGTGATCGCTTGTACGATGATAGCTTAATTTGTTAAATGTATGGAACGTCCAAATCTATCGATCTTGTCACACTTGATCATTGTTGGGGCTAAGCTTGTGTTCTGATGAAAAAGGTAAAATGTATTGTCGTGATACCGTTTCATTCAGAATGATTACGCCTTCGAATGATGGCTTGGCTTGACTTCTATCGCACATCCCTTTTATATAATGATAAATTAGCATCACACATTTGCGTCAGTTAGTCTTTGTGTTAATGTGTTCATACTCGCCTGCTTATTTAATCTACTGTTCTTAGTCATACAATTAAATCGAAACATTTGTCCTGATACATCGCAAGCAGGATTTTTATTATTTTGAGTAATAAGAAAAAATCTTGATTTAAAACAAATACAGTCAAAACCTCGTTATGTGTTTTATTGAAGGTAATTATTGCTACTCCGTTTTCAACTGTGAAATTTCTTCGTTATAACGACATTACCGTTACCAAAGTTTGAACCCTGGATTTTTACGTATCGCTTTACAACCGAACCTCGTTATACCAAATTTTCGTCAACCCGAAGGGATTCTGGTTCCATTTTTTCAATAGTAGAATAACGCTCGTTATAACGAATTTAATAGTAAAATCGCGTTGACCGTAAGATACTTTTAATCAAACTATTAACAATCTTGTAATAGTGCGATCGAGATACCCCGTACCCCGATGATACTAACAACGACTTTCCAAACACAAACTGCGCCATTAATTTTAATTAATTAGTGACGTTGATAATAATTAATTAATATTATTAATTGTCGCGGCTGATTATGATGCTGAAATCATGAATTTTCACTGGTTGGTCAAAATTCTATTTTTTAACTCCATTGGTTAGTTTCTCCCACAATTAATAACTTAGCTAAATTGAATATTTGCAATAAAATGAGTTTGGAATACCTCGACTATTTTACCTCTTGTATTTGTGGTTAATATACACAGAGTTATTGTGAAATATGACCGAAAGCTCGTACGTGAGATTAACAATATGGATTTATTACTGAAGGCAGAAAATGATATAAAGCAGACCTATTGTTATACTCACGCGTCCCTGTGCACCCACAAGCCTCGCTCAACGTAATTAGCACTAGCAGGAGATTAAACAAGCAAAGATTATCAGTTACCAATATTAATATTAGGTTGAGTCTTGTTAAGAATTTTATCAATCATATTAATACTGTGTTGACTATTGATTGTGTTCTAATACTCGACTAATTAATAATTAGATTTACCCGAGTAACTCTCAAATAAGGCTTCGGTGGTATCAAACATAAATTTGACTTTAACTAACATAGCATTCACTTCTGACAATCTTGGTGAACCGAAACCCTGTATTAATAGTAATTAGCACTAGCTTGGACAGAATTCAATAAATTAGATATACGATTCGTGCGTGTATCGCTAACATACAGTCAATTTTCGCAATTGCCTAATAAGAAATATTGCTCGTTTTTCAATTAATCTTGGATATGACACGAACGATGATTCTCTCCACCTACCAAGTAGAAATAACATTTATCGAAGAGCAGAACCCCTTTCTGTCTACTAGAAGCTATAAGCGAATTGGGACTGTATAGAGGTGCTTTTACTGTAAATCGGTCAGTTCCGTGAAAAGATGTGATTGTAAGCCAGTTGTGCCCTTGTATAGGGTGTAACTTAGAGGGAGACGGCTGAGGCAAGTCAAGTGACGTTTATGCCGACTAGTCAACATGCCAAATCAAAATCGCCTGTTTAAGTTGGAATACTATAACATAAGGACCCTTATTTGGATATGAGTACGAGAGGTACATTGTATAATAATGAAATTGAAAATTTGCACCAGAGCGACCAAGGCTTTTGGTGTCCGAGTATTTATATTTAAACCAATCACATTTTATAATTAAAACTATGCGTACAAGAATTTGTACTTTCTTGGTTCAATATCCTCATAAGATTCATATTCAAATTTCTTTCGACGTTCTGATGCTACCAAAACAAAAGCTCTTACCATAATGCAATTTGTTGCTGCGGGCGTAATTTTGCAGAAGAGTTTATGCTTCTGAAACATATTGACTGCGATATTTCTAATTGATTTTACGCGGATGATAGAACGTTCAGCTTTATCTACTCGGTTAATCCTCACAAAGAACATTGATTGTTGGAAAATCCGTAGAGGAAAAGTCACGGGACATGTCGTTAATGTAAGACATGTCCCGTGTCTTTCCTCCTCCATCATTCACCCATGTCTTCCTCCAAAGATTAAATGCGTTGCTTGCCTAGCTCCTCTGGACTAACATCTTTTGGCTCATCTCCCCTTTCCTCTCCTACAAATTACTACTCCACACTTGTTTTCCTTCACTAACTCTATCACTCAAACTCTATATCATATTCTCATTACCGAAAACAATAGGAGACGCCAAAGGCATCCCAGCAGAAATCAGCAAGCGCATACTAATACGGTTCTTTAAAGGCAATTAACAGAATCGCTGAATTAGATTACAATTGTCCGCGATCCTTAAAGTGAATGTAATAAGAATGTCTTTTTTGTGTGTAACAATGTATCGGCTGATCACCAGCATATTTACAGTTGCCTACATTCTCGTGCCACAAGAACCGTGTTTTTATCGAGTTTAAATTTTACCACCCTCAGACGTTAACATGACAAATCGAAATTCAAATGTGTCCGCCGACTCACTCTTCCGGATCGCAGACAGATCGGTCCTCCGTTCACCCATGCCAAGACACATAAGCTCACTTCATTCAATAAGTACCACTCCAAGCATACCTGATAAACGTGGTCCAATAAAACCCGGGAAGTTTATACGGCCGACGCCTATAGTGCCTGCGCTCGGCATACCAACAACACGCAGGCAACATAATTATACTAGCTCACCATTACCGTATGACAAATTAAAGCGGAACACAACCCCAGAAAAGTTTTCCTCACCAGGAACGCCGCGTTTACCCGAGTCAAATAACGATTTTGGCCTTGTACCTTTTGAGAAAAAGATCGCCGAGTCTATACCAGCGCGTCGACAAAGTTACGAGGTAAGCTCGTTTCCTGGTCCTTTGATAGACGACGGTTATCGACCGGAGAAGGGCATATACATGACTCATTGGCATTTGAGATGCATTTCTGCACGCGGATTAAATCTTCCAGGTAATCTTGGCGTCTGGGTAGTGTTGAAAGGAATACGGAAATACAAGGGAAAGTGGAAGGACTGGCATACGTCAGCAATTGTCGATAGAGTTGACTCGCGGGTAGTGCTGACATTAAGTGGACAAATGTACTACCTAGCTGGTGAGGTCATTGCTGATACAATGTTGGATGATGGTGAGTATTATCTTCCTTGTAACACTGATTGGAAAACTATCTAACCGTAAAATTTGTTTAATGAATGCTAGGATTTTCGTCAGAGTTAATATCTCGATTTTCGCAAGGATTTCCTTCAGATTGGAAAGCCTTGCTGGCTGTTGAGTTTGGAAAACATCAAAGTCATAAAATAATGACTATGACATCTACGCCTACAAAGCGCAACGATGTCGTGAATTGCGTTCGAGATCGTTGTATAGCAGATGATCGTTGTATAGCAGATGATCGTTATATGGAAGATGCTCGTCGTATGGAAGATGCTCGTTGTATGGAAGATGCTCGTCGTATGGAAGATGCTCGTCGTATGGAAGATGCTCGTCGTATGGACGATGCTCGTTGCACGGAAGATGATCATTGTACGGAAGATGATCGCTGCACGGAAGATGATCGTTGCACGGAAGATGACTTCTCTACCAAATCACCTCCTCGTGAGATATCTGATACAAGCAAGGATTTATTTAACGAGGCCGGGCCGATTACGCCATCACCAAAGCCGGTAGCGGATTCTGACGTAAACTATTTATTCTAATTATTGGGACATGGTGATGCTGGTGTTATCATGATCATTAATGATGCTTCTTTTCCATATAGGTGATTATATCAAAAGATGTAATTGCCATCACTCGCTCAGGGCGGCGAATAAAACGACCTGGTGCTTGGTGGGCCAACAGTCGATGACAGAAATGCTGGATGAGTAGTATGAACGGCGTATTGAAACGGTGAAACGGAAAATGAAACCAAAGGTTGAACGAGGGCTTTTATGAAAAATGTTGACGAGTCTTTTTTTTTCTTTTATTTCTTTTACTTAGATAATTAATAAACAACCTGCGAGAACAAGATATTTAATGTAATGAGCTGTCGCCAACCTATCTATTGGTTAAGTGACTATTATCATTGTTGCTAATGGTGTCCTATATACATTTAATGCTTTCATAATCGCTGGGTTACGAAATTATTAATACGAACATAGGGTAATACAGTCTTTGTTATTATTTCTATGCTAACGTTCATTTTTGTAGTTGAACGACCTTTTATTGCCGTTGCTGTTGACTGATTGCGATCAGTGATAATAATGATAATAGACATAATTATTGACACCATGTTTCCTACCATCCGTATGCTTTATCACAAGATTTATGCGCGTCAAGTAAATACTTTAGGAAAATGCGCAATTCAGAGTGATCTAACAAAATGTAATCCTATAGTGTTGGAAAATAGAAAGAACACCAAAAGTTGACAAAAAAAAATCGAATAGGAATGCTGTCGACTTATAAGATTGTCAATGTGTGAAGAAAATTGGCTTTTGGGTACATAAAATTTGGTTTGCACTGGTTTACATGCAAAGTTTTATACAGAAGTTTGGAAGAGTATCAGGAAATACCTTGAATTGGGTGAAAGTTTTTAGCAGGTAATGGCCCGAGTAGCCAAGGATTGTTTTTTTTTGAACAAACGAACCAACAAACTTTCTCCGTGGTTGTAGATTGGCTTTTTAATAATTCAGTATTAAAAATCTGTTAAATACTGTGTCGAAAAACGTATTAGTAATGTGTCAGAGGGAAGTAATTTTTGACAAACATTATTTGTCGATTGCATGATTGTAATAGACAATAATGGTGTGGTGAAATGAATTGATTATAACTATGTTTTTTATACCAATAAAAGCATTGCTTTGTTCATTACACGTTAGTATTGAAGCAATTCTATTTAGCCATAGTAAAAATAAGAGGCCAATGTTTTCTTAACACGATTATATTGTAACAGAATTACATTTTGTCTTTTTATTTTAATTCAGACATGATTTTTTTCCACAGGCAATCTTTGTTAACTCAGAAGACTGTTATGTATAAGTCTTAATCAGCGTCTACAATTTTATTACGATAAGTATAGTAATAACGACTTAGTAACAGAACATACTTTCTATCAGATGTTGAAGATTGCTAATGTCGTTACTGAGTTTAAATTGGCAAGAATGCGTTTAATAATAAATGACATTTTCTCAGTATCTAACCGTCTTCTAATACTAAAGGCTGTAGTAACAGAACAAAATTTCTGTACAGATGTTGAAGATTGCTAATGTCGTTACTGAGTTTAAAACATTGGCAAAAATACGTTTAATAATAAACAACATTTTCTCAGTATCTAACTGTCTTTTAACCGCTGTTGCTAATATTGGTTTAATTATCTGATGTCATTCTATGTTCAATTCACGCTTCTCATAGCTAGCAGTTTGTGCAGACTAATAATAATAACGAGCACATTACGTAATTTAACCATGTTATCACCAAATTGATGTGGCTATTATGTCATTCTTCCTTTCTTTGTTTCCAATTCAGGAGATAAATGTGTTATACAAACACGTAAAATACAAATCAAATCACTTAAAAGGGATTTCACTACGCGTTATCCAAATAACAGTCCAAGTTTATTAAACGCGTTATGTGCGGTCGCTTGGGAGAGCGTTGTTCAACTAATGACGAAGACGTTCTTCAACGTAACTGACTGCTAGTTTTGAATCATTTTTCGTAGGATATTTCGTCTGAAAATCGGTTTAAATAAAAATGACTCTTTCAGCGAGCCCTGCCGGCTAGTAATTTACGAACAAGGAACCAAAAATATCAGGACAAAGCAACTATAGTTGAACAAAATTGATGTAATTTTGTAACCAGGTGAAGTAAATTAAAAGTGCGATATTGTTTAATTCCAGGTTTCTCAGCCGTTCTCTGAGCACGTATAATCTATTTGATGATATATATTACATACTGATTACATGTTCAAATAAATGTTATAAATATTGGTTTTACGGCGAGATAAAAATCATAATTATAGAAATTTACTCTTTATGAGCTCCCATTACGCACGGTTGTAAGCTTCTTTTATTTCTTAATTTAGTTGCCTTAATATCAATAAAATTATGGTAATTGTTTGCATAAAACCATTTTTAATCAAACAAAATAATGTTTGACTCTACAGGTAATTTTGTTTATTGCTTCTGTTAACATGTTTCATATTCTTGCAAATGCCAACTGTCATAAAAGGTCATGCACTAATTTAATCACGTAATGATGGAGATGCCCCCTTTCTCGCCTTAGCTTTACGAGAATTTAGAACCTTCAAAGTTATAGACTGATATATACTTTTCATTAAAACTAGTTCTAAGAGGATGGATTGGTTTTGTGTCTGTAAAGAACCAGCAGTACCTGCAATGATGTAAGTAAACAAAGAATAATTGATATGAATACAGCTTTATGCAACCATTCGAATTCATTTTGTGTCGATTGACATTGAACAGGTTCTGTTTGCTTTGTTAGGACGAAAACGTTGAATTGTGCGTCATCTTCCGAGTCAGATTCTTGATCCTGTTCCAGACTTTCAACGTATTGAATTATGTTCGAAGCAATGTCCGTGGCTTCCGTCAATATAATGTTGCATATGGACGACGAAGCCAGACACTCTGCTCTTTCACTGAATTGAGGAGCCACCAGAATCCCCACGGTATTCATGGGGTATTCGGTGAGTTTTCTTGTCATTCTGTCAACAAAGTTGGGCTCTTTATGCAACAAACGACAATTTAGTTATCGCTGTAGATTACTAGTATTTACTAATGTGTAATTAACATTACCAGCCGGTCGTTCATCGTAGTTACAAAGGACAATAAACAGCACTCTTTCATAAGTCACGATAAAGTCAACTCCGCCGTTGTCACTAAAAATCATGCCAAATATTCATCGCAGTCAATACCAACGAACAGTAGATATGGACCTGATTGCCAATTGGCAGGGTAGGCTCACTGTCGATCACAGCTGGAAGCGTAAATTTCGAGATACAAAGCACTCAACTAATGTCACTCACCCTTCACCATAATAATTAGCCCGTATTCCTCCGCTTCGGAGACACTGTAAGACAGTTTCTTCGTACAACGTTTTCAAGTCTGTCATTCTAAAGTAAACAAATTGTGAGCACATCATAGAATAAGTTATTATCAAAGTGTGTTACCTGTAGTTGTCGTCGTGGAGATAGAAGTAAGGTGTCGAGCTTGAAATCGCGACTAATTTAAACTGACGAGTGATCGACAAAGATTCATCTAATTATAAACACAGCGTTATTACGTGTATATAGTAACGGTTGACCACTGTACCTTTATTATTAGTATAAGCAATTTTTTGTAGACACATTGCATTAGTATCATTTTTGACTAGGTGCCATTATATTACGACGATCCACCAAAGTTAAATATATCGATAGGTAAAACTGCATGTTACGCTAGAGTCTCATTCACTGGAGTAAAGATTATCTTATTTCTTGTGACTAGAAAGCCTGCTGATACATTATTGGCCTGTAAAACTCTCAATCGAAATGACCTTTTTTTTCCTTTGTAAAAAGCCATCATACCGAATCTACATGCGCGAATCACAACCCCACATACTATCAAACGTCTCTATTGATCTGCACACAATATCCAGACAGTCCTTTTTCAGCTACAGAAAGTCAGAATACAAAATCTCATTGTAAGGACCCAATCGTTTGGCTGTCCTTATTCAGATAATGGCATGAACGAGTTCAAAATAATTACTGCTTAGCGTTAGTGTTATAATTATCCGCTTTATCCCACCCGGGTCGGAGCGAGAGGTTGTGGTGGGTTTTATCCAAGTTTTTGGATCCCCCATGTGGCGTTTTGAATGCGCCTTATATTGATTTATCGTCATCAAAATCAGTAATGACATCACTGCAATTTTTGTGATTTAATGACATCTTGAGAAAGCATAGAGCTTTGTTCTACTATCGCGAACGGATAGCCTCAATATGCTTGAGTCACTCGTCGCGAATGTGTTGAACAGGGTTTTGGGGGCTTATGTATCTAACTTAGAGAATAACCAATTAAATATTGCTATATGGTCTGGTATGTTGCATGAAAAGGGAGAGAATGAATTCAAAGAATACGAGTGGTTTGTCTTCTTTTCGTACCGTCTAATTCTGGTTATGAACACTGAACAGGTGATGTCGTATTGAAGAATTTACAACTGAAGAAGGAAGCTTTGGATAAATTTGATCTACCTGTTGATGTATTGGAAGGTGATATTTTGTCCATTAAACAACAAAAGCGGAGAACATGCGAAAACTTAGTCTTTTAGCCCTTGTTAGTGTTATTATAGCCTTTAACTTTGTATGAATAATTGTGTTGTCATAGGTTATCTTGGTGAATTGACATTGAATATCCCATGGGCCAATCTAAGGAATAAACCAGTCAGAGCTCTAGTTAAAGACGTCTATTTATTAGCTGTGCCTAAGGCTGAATCTGAGGTCTGATAATTGCTGCAATATGATCATGATAGTAAATGCTATCTTTATGATGATGATACATTGTATGCTAATATCACCATTATTTATGCGATTGGTATTCGCTGCCTGATGTGATTTACGCGTCTGCTTGTTCTATCGGCCATTAGTATGATCCAGTAGAGGAGGAACGACGTGCCCAGCAATTGAAACAAGAAAAGTTGGCTAATGCTGAACTGTTAGCCGCACAGCCGTCTGAAGGTAGCAACACGATTCCTCTGGCATTGTAAAAAAATTTATCGTCACATGTATTTGATGCAAAAAATGCTATTCTTTAGACGGTGATGATAGTAAGAATCAATCGTTTGTGAATTCACTCGTCACTAAGGTCGTCGACAATCTACAGATATCGATCAAGAACATACACATCAGATATGAAGATAGGCTTAGTGATCCAGGCGTAAGTATATTGAGATTACATGGTGCTGGGATGCTATCATTTCTTGCTGGCTGTTGTTGATCTGTTATAACACACATTGCTAGCATCCATTCGCAATCGGAGTGACTCTTTCAGAATTATCTGTCGTGTCTGCTGATGAAAATTGGGTGCCTACATTCATTGAGAATGAGACAAAAGAGATTCGAAAGGTACAGTGCATGTAATGGTTGCGTATGTACTTTGAATGTTTGTTACTAACACGGTTTGATATCGTGTAGTTACTCACTCTAGGCTGCTTGGCTGTATACTGGAATACAGATACGACATCGTTAGCCGGACATGCTTCAAACGAAGCAATTAAATTATTTAATAGTCTGGTATTGATATCACTACATGTGCAGAATTATCTCTTTATACACGATTATATTGATTTATTGTTTATTCTACCAAGATTGCATCTGGGAATAATAGTATTGATCACCAGTATATTCTGAAACCAGTCTCAGGAGAAGGACGTGTACGTATCTTCAAATAATGCTATTTATATGCCTAATGTGGTCGCGTACTGTTTAATCGTGCTTTATTCTAATTTATGCTTACTATTACAGCTTACTATGAGCAAAGGGCATGATCCAAACGTCCCAAAAATAAATTCTACTCTCTTATTTGACCAATTAGGCTTTGTCCTAGATGATGAACAGTACAGGGATGCGTTATTAATGGTCGATTTGTTCCATTTCTTTCTGAGACAACAACAAGTGAGTCAACAGTTTTAACTATGTGTTGTAATCGTTTTTGCTGCAACATTTATTCCTAGTCCATTTAACATTATGTCTAATATTGGTCTTACTTGTCAAAAGTATCGTAGATTTAGACCTCCAAAAGAAGTAACGCCAAAATCAAATCCAAGAGCTTGGTTCCAATTTGCAGGCAAATGCATTCTATCAGAGATACAAGAACGTAATCGCAAATTTACCTGGAATTATATCGCAGAACGTCGACTACAAAGAATAGAATATCTCGATCTTTATACCAAAAAAATGCTCGACCGCCTCACTCCAGAGGATGCTGCAAAGTTGGAACAATTGGAAATAAAGCTCTCTTACGAAGATATCAGATTTTACAGATCAATAGCCAGGAGTAAGCTACGCAAAGAAAAGGCACTCATAGCCAAAAAACGAGAAATAGAAAAACAAGATAAACGCGGTCGTTCTGGATGGCTGAGTAACTGGTGGTATGGCGGTGGTTCATCAGGGGGAAATGAGAATGAGACTATATTGACCGACGAACAAAGAAAAGAACTTTATGATGCTATAGAATACGATGAAACGGCAGCAGTCACTGAAGCGGTTGAGATACCCAAGGATTCGATTCAACTGCAATTCAGTACTATACTGAAAATAGGATCCTTTGCATTAAAGAAAAATCCGCATGGGAAAAAGCATACCATCCTATCGTTGGTGTTTGATACAGTCACAACTAAATTTCTGCAGAGACCTACGTCATTTGCGCTCGAAACTGCTCTGGGCAGTCTAGCCGTGTACGATGGATCAACAGAGGGCACCCAGTATCCACAGATAGTCCGAGTTAAAGAGGACCTCCGGGCCGGAAAAGCCATAGAAGAAGCACAGGCGACTAGCGTGATTCAGGAACACGACATTACACCCGCAGAAGGGCATGTTCCCGAAAACCCCTTCTTTCAACTGATGTTCGAATCCAAACCAATCGACAACCGTGCTGATAATGCTTTCTCCCTGAAAATGAAGCATCTTGAGATCATATATAATAAAAACGCGATCGATGCCGTCCAAGACTTTTTCAAACCACCAGAACAGCAGATGGAATCTATCGCAGTGTTGATCGAAGCTGCTGGAGATAGGTTTGAAGGGATTAAAGCTCAAACACGCGCCACGTTAGGACATGCTTTCGGGTATGCTTTAGAAGAGCACAAGACGATGGATGTGGAGATTGACATGAATGCACCGATTGTGATTATACCAGAGAGCTGTACCAGGAAAGATGCCGAAGTTATTGTGTTGGATGCTGGTCGTATTAGCGTTGTGAGTAATTTGGTAAAAAAAGAAATAATTGCAGAAATCAAGTCGAAGGCGGCAGATACGTATAGTGATGAGGATCTGGAAACTTTAATGTATGACAGATTTTCTGTGCAGTTATCATCTACTCAGGTATTTATTTTGGATGGGGATATGTGTTTTTCATGTGCACTTTTCACCTTCCACAATATCTCACCACGTCTTCCCTAATGTAAATATAGCTTCTCGTAGGCCACTCTGCCGAAAGTTGCCTAGCTCAAATTCGTAACGTAAGCACTACTTATGACCTCCATGTAATCGACCGCATCAACATCAACTTCCTTGTGGAACTTTCTATTCTACCTTCCGCCCCTAATATCGCTCGTGTCCGCGTTTCTGGCAATTTACCATTACTTCAAGTCAACCTCTCCGATCGCAAATACAAAACCATCATGAAGATTGTGGATTTAGTCACAAAAAAAGATGATGCGGCAGGAGAAGATGTTGTAAAATACATGGAAAAAAGGAAAGCGAGTAGTCCTGGCAGTGGGAAAGGGACTATATCAGGCAAAGGCAGTTTAAGAGGGAATGAAGCTAAAAAATCATGGGAATTGGCCAAGCACAGGGATTCTATGGCAATTTCGGAAAAGTTTGGTTTGGGTCGGGGGTTAGCGGATCTTTTGATTGATAGTGAGAGTGATGGCGAAGGTGAAGAAAGCAAGGCAGAAGAAAATACTGACGAGTTCTTTGACGCTGTTGAAAGTGAAATTCCTCAGTCCGCAAAACTAAACCAACGCCTATTCGAATTCAAATTTCAAGTCGATAAAGTATGCGCTTACCTCAAAAAATCCGATAAAGATTATGAAAAGCCCGAAACTGTTCTTGCCGATCTGTTGCTCGAACACTTTGCTCTTAGCTTTATCCTCCGCCCGGTCGAGATATCAGCCGAAGTCACGCTGGAGTCGTTCTTTATCGAAGATAAAATTACTGAAACGCGATCTGAATTCAAACACATTGTTTCATCGAAAGGGGAAGCAGACGGAAAAAATGATGGGGGAAATCTGGTTCATGTTAGATATACAAAGGTGGATCCGCAGCATCCAGAGTATATGTCGAGATTTGAAGGGATTGATCAGAGTGTGGATGTTGTATTGAGGACTATTACGATTGTCGTAACCAGGAAGAGTATTTTAACGCTTTTGGATTTCGTTCTTGATACGTTTACTACGCCAAATAATTCTCCGGCTGTTAGTACTCCATCGAGCAATGAATCACATGATGTACAAAAACAACGAAAACCTCGGAAACAAGCAAGTACAATGCGAGTTAAAGTCCAATTGACTAGCATTGTATTTATACTCAATAACGACGGAACACGCTTAGCCACTGGCTCGCTGGAGCGAGCAGACGTAGCCGTAATGTTGCGCAAAGACACGCTCCGCGTCGGTGCTCGCTTGGGCAACTTTTCTTTACTCGATGATACTAACAGCTCACCTAATATCCGTCAATTGCTAACCATACAAGACGAGAACTTGGCCGATTTCCGATATGAAACGTTTGATGAAAACGAACCGGGTTATCCCGGATATGATTCGTCAGTATATCTTCGTGCTGGGTCGGCTAGACTCACTTTTCTCGAGGAGCCAGTTAGATTGTTGGCTGAATTTGGGAGTAAATTTGCGCAGATGAAAGGATTATATGATTCTGCTCGTCGCGCTGCTGTTGAACAAGCCGCGCAATTGCAGAAGGAAGTGCAAAAATTTCATTTTGATATTGAGATACTTGCTCCTAATGTCGAATTTCCGAGGAGCATGTCCAAGGACAGTGTTGTCGCTAATTTAGGTCAATTCTCTGCGTTGAATGAATTTGTTAACAACTCTAACGGAAATGGATATTTGACACGAATTACAGCCGGAATCAAAGACATTCGCTTAACTTCGAACTTTTTCTCCGACAGCGGAAACAAACAAGTACTGCAGATTATCGATGATGTTGATATTACGTTCAAAGTACAGTATTCTCAACAAGTGGGGGGGTCGAATATGGAAATAACTGGGCATATGTCTGATGTCAAGATGAAATTAACAGAGAAGCAGTACAAGGTCTTGTTTGAGCTGTCGAACCAAGTCGCTCGTGCATTCAGTGGAGGTGAAGCAGTTGAAGATGGTAATGGACCGTCTTTGAGTGCATATGATGGGACCGCCGAGTCTACGCCTGTGCCGTCTTCGCCAGTAGTTATATCCCCCACTACTGAAGCACTTTCAGATAAGCCTGAGCTAAAACTATCCACGACATTTAATGTCAATCAAATATATCTTGAAATATTTGCTAAGGATGAATTGCAAGCGGACTCGTCGGACGGGAAAAGTCTATCAAAGTTTTCACTGAACAAGACTGATTTTAAATGTAAAATACTTACTGACGACACTATTGATGCGGAATTGCGACTCCAGTCGGTGACCTTGAGTGATACTAGACCTAACATTAAGAATGTATTCAGAGAGATATTACCAGCTATCAATAAGGATGAACCGCAGTTTCTAGTTAGTCTAAGCATGTCAGGCGGGGCGGAACGTAATATTATTGCACTAGCTACAATTGATAGTCCCCGAATGATATTTGCTCTCGATTATCTGTTTGCGCTTAAAGACTTCTTCCTGAGTCCGTTTGTATCAGATAGTAATAATTCAACGCAACACAAGCAAATACCCGAGTCACCAGAAGAGACAGCACCAACCCCGCCTTCTAAACCGTCTCGTCCGTCTAATCAATCCACTTCATCTGCATCCAAGTCGACAACGCTTAACTATCGTGTAAATTTGAAATGTGCAGAAATAATTCTACTTGCCAACCCACAAATTGAAAGCACGGAAGCAGTTATTCTTTCTGCAAATCAGATAGTACTCACACAGCAAAGTATAATGGCATTATCAATCGATGAAATAGGCATGTTTTTATGTCGTATGGATAAACGAGAGGCTACATTACTGCGATTTATCGACAACTTTAGAGTTTCGCTCACACTTGACAACAACCCATCGGCCGAGTATAGTCGATCAACCAGCATTATGATTGATGTTGGACCGCTGGTCATGCGAATGTCTTATAGAGACGTTATGTTACTAATGTCGATTTTGAATAAGATATCAGAATTATCATCTCAGTCATCATCTGCAAAGTTTAAAGAAATTACAGATGAGAAGTTGAATTTTGATTACAGAAATTTACAAAATGCAGTTAAGGAAAAGGAAAAAGAATGGAAGGAAAAGGAGAGAACAGTAGAGTTGGTTAAGGAATCGTTAAAGGCCGGATTTCAGGGATTGAAATTGATTCTGATCGGAGATGAACATAATATTCCAATGATTGACATGAATGCAAAGGGGTTCGCTGTCAATGTGAATGATTGGTCATCCAAGGTAATAAAACTTGTTATTGTTGTTTTTTACATGTTTGGGTCTATTTTTTTTCTTAATACGGTACCCACTTTTTTTAGATGACAGTAGATGCTGTTTTGGAGACTTACATCAACTACTTTAATCTGACTAATTCGCACTGGGAGCCCTTGATCGAACCATGGCATTATAAATTACAAGTAATAAACTAAATATTGAGTGTTTCTTATTATAATTGATCAACGATACCATTAACTCTTATAATAGGTATCCAAGAATCTTAACCCGGAGAGCATGTCGATCGAAATATTTTCAAAGAAACGACTGGAAATTAATATAACTCACATATTCATTGAGACAATGTTGACCACGCTTTCTATTCTTAAACGTGAAAAGGAGGTCTGTTTAGATACATTATACGAATAACTGAATTTGTTATTCTGCATGCTTGTCTCAACTTTAATAATCCGTTCTGTAGCATGTGTTGAGCACGGCAAGAGAATCACGAACTGCTTATAAATTGGTCAATAGAACGGGATATAGCATGCACGTATGGAAAATATCAAGTGACGATAATACTGATACAGAGATACGCATACTCGCAGATGGCGAGGAGGTCAACTGGCGTTTTGATGATTGGAGAATTGAAAGAGAGGTAATTATACATATCCGGAAAACACATGATAAATTAGATTCGTAATTCTGATCAATAGTATCTTTGAAGAGTCTTCCTTCCCCGTCTTCGACCAAGAACATGCTTGGACTGCAATTCGAAGGCTCAAACTGGGAAAGTATAAAGGATATTCCTGTTGATCGTGAAGGCGAAACATTCTACATACTCCGACCAAAACTGAGAGAAGTATCACATCGTCTGGTGGTCGACGTCAAGTTAAATGATAATATCAAAGTTGTGACTTTTCGATCGGCATTGGTTGTGGAGAATAGAACCATGTTGAATGTGGAAATGATGATAGTTGATGCAAATGAGAAGCAAGTGTCGGATATTTATCACATTGGTAATGACGCGTTTTGAGAAGATCGAGACATCTTTGCTGATTTGTAGTTGAGGGAATTCCGTATGCTCACTATTATTTTTTGCACAGGACCAAATGATGACTGTCCTGTGCCGTTCGAATCTTCATATCATCATCGTCTGAGATTCCGACCTGAGGGTAAATAGTTGGCGATTCTAAAATGTCATGTATTTACCCTATTTGCATCGATTCTGAGCTTTGTTGTTTATTAGGCGGTTTTGGCTATGATTGGAGTTCTCAGAGTCTATATTGGCAAGACTTTATCAGAAAAGATACAATCAAGTCTATTTCATGCGCATCTACCGGTGAAGATGTCCCATTTAGATTCCAAGTATTTACAAGATATAAGAAGGACAACGCGCGCGCCATGTAAGCATCAGCATTAAGGAGCCAGATCTTTTCCGTTCTTACCAACTGACCATATTTTCTTTATGTTGGGGTTCTTTTTCCTCGCTTACAGGACGTATCCATGCATGTCGATTCGTCTGTCTGCACCAATAGAGATAGAAAATCTTCTTCCATATGATGTCAAGTTCCGCATTTATGATAAGACAACTAAACACGATTGGCCGAATAACCCTTTGAGTAAAGGAGGAAGTACCGCGTTGCACTTGATTGAATTGGGACATTTGTTACTTTTGAGTGTTGAGGTATTGGACACTGGTATGTGATAACAGCAAATGATGAGAGAAGGAATCGATATAGACTGAATTTAAATATTGTTAATACAACTATTAATCAATATTGTTTTATAGATTATAAACCATCCGAATTTGCAATTATTAGCTCTCCAAATGAAGATTATCACGTAGATAGCACTCTTACAGTCGAGGATCCAGAGGGATTGAAACTAAATCTTAAAATACACTATACGTAAGTTGGAAGACCGCCGTGTTTTGTTATCGCGACTATCCGCTAACGTGTGAAATTTATTCAGTGAGATTCCAGATTCAGGAGGCGCCTTCAAATTCAGTATTTATAGCCCATATGTGATGATGAATAAAACAGGTCTGGATATGACGTTTAAGAGCAAGTCACTCTTCCAGAATGCTAAGATTGCTGCTGGTCAAGGTAAAATTTAACGACAACGCCCTATTTAATGCTAGCGCAATACTCATGACTCAATTTATCTTGCAGGATGGCTATCCGGACGGCGTAGGAATCAAACGGTCCGTAAATGCCAACCCTTAATGATTATTTGTTATCTAAAATTTTTTGTTCTTACTCATATTTATTTCACAGGTTAAGCCATATATGTTCTCTTACCCGAGTGATGAAACAAGGAATCGAGCATTACTTAAAGTTGGAGATTCGGACTGGAGTAGTGTACGTTTTGCGACGAATGCGACAGTTTATTTATTATGCTATAACATATCTATGATTAATGCGTTTTCATTGAATTTAAATAGCCTTTAAGTTTTGAGGCTGTTGGGAGTGTTATGGAAGTCGTAATACCTTCTCAATCACGAGACGATGAGATACACATTGGCGTTAGCATCGAAGAGGGACATTCGAAAGTAAGTTGTCGTCATACTCAGTATATGGCATTAATAACCAAGTAAAATATACGCGACGAATATCACCTAATAACCCTTTTTTTCTTTCGCTACCATAAAGTATAAATTGATAAAAGTCGTAACATTCACTCCGCGTTTCATCCTCAAAAATAATCTTAACGAAGATATCGATTTCCGAGACGTGTATTCCAATAATGCAATTTTATTAAAGTCAAAAGATAGAGCACCTCTACATTTCTTACATAGGGGAGACGTGAAGCAGCTCTGTTTTTCGTATCCTGGGAACCCATGGTGAGGTTTATTCTTGGAAAAGGTTTACAGGGATGGTGTTGACGCCCACAGATATATTAAAGTATTCTATGCTTTGATTTATGAATAGGTCTGCACCAATTAACATTAATGATATCGGAAGAATACATCTAAAACTTGCGAGGGCCGATAGAGAAATTCATCTACTGAGAATTGAAATTCTATTGGAGCAAGCAACCGTTTTTCTGGTCCTTAACAGAGAAGAAGGAAAATGGCCATATAGAATAGATAATCACTCCAACGTTGATGTTGTATTCTATCAACAAGTAAGTGACAAACGTGTTTTACCATCTGGGAATTATCCTCCAAAATTAACTTAAAAAAAAACAACAATTGAAGACTCCTGATCGCCGCGAATCAGGCTCCAGTACAAGTCTCTATGCACCCAAAAAATATGGTCTCCCAGCAGGCAGTTCAGCAGTATATTCATGGGATTTTCCAGCACTGAAAGAGAGGAAGTTGATTTTAAATGTCAATGGTACGGAACGAACAGTTAACATACAAGAAATTGGAACTCTTGTTCCGTTCAAGGTTTCGGTAAGGCGATTTGATATATAATCCTCTGATCTAAAGCGATGCCGCGTAATTAAACTAGCTATCCTTAACAGCGTCCCGATGGAGTTCATATACTCTCCCTCGAAGTCGCTGCAGATGGTCCTATGCAGGTATTACTGCTTAGTAATTATAAGCAGTCAAAAAGCATGTACAAGCCCCGTCCTGCATCAGTAGCGTCAGTCGCGAAAAGCGAAAATGGAAGTTCAAAGGACGCCTTTGAAATTGTAAGTCTGGGTAACAGTGTGATATATGCCGGATGGCAGAGTTCATTACTAAATTGCATCATCGTGTTTCCTGACAATTATTTGTCTCATTTAGATAGATGTTGATTCTGTAACTACTCTCAACTTCCAAATCATACTAGAGGGTATTGGAATTTCTGTCGTTAACAAGAGAATGCATGTGAGTAGATTTCTATACTTAGTTCACTCTACAACGACAACCGCCGTCTAATGCGTAAACCTCCTTTTTCGTTAACAGGAATTATCTTATATATTACTACGTGGTTTGGAGTTTTCGTACAGCGATTCCACGCTTTATCAGTCACTACGTTTTGTAGTAAAATGGTTACAGGTAATAAGATACTGTACTTATTAATGCAATTAAGCTAGACTTTGAATAGGCGCAATCCACAAATTTATACGTATTATTTGTACTTGTAATTTTTCCAACCAGATTGACAATCAGCTCTACGGTGGTCTGTACCCAATCATCTTTTACCCAACAATTATACCTAAAGAAGGGAAAGAGATCGAAGCCCATCCTACCTTTAACGCGACTCTTATCAAATCGAAAGATGAATCTCACGGAGTCGTATACTTTAAATACTTTTCGATGCTGTTACAAGAAATGACTTTTGAAATAGATGAAGATTTCTTATTCGCATTACTGGATTTCATGAAACTAAAAGGATTAACCGCTGAAGAGGATGATCTGCAGCTGTTTGATGGAAATATGGATGTTCCGGAACCAAAGTCTATGGAGGGAGATGCACAATATTATTTTGAGATAATGCATAATCAGCCAATGAAAATTAACATATCTTTCGTGAGAACCGAAAGGATTAACGTTGAGGATAAGTATCCTTTTAATCAGTAGCGCGTGAAGGAGGTTTTTGGCAGGCGTATTCCTGTTAAACGAATACTTAGAATTTGTAAATTGAAGAGAGTAGCGTTCGCATCCGTTCTTTTTATAGTCCTTGACTTTGTTTATAGACCTCCGCCACGGAATCCAGTCATGTTCTTCTTCAATATTTTGACGATGGCCATTGGAAATATCAATGTAAGTATCCGTGGTCTAATTATTGCACGACTTTAATGAAGTCAAGACATATTTGTCCGAAATTCTTCTAATGTATTTGTTTTCATCTACCCTCAGGATGCTCCAATAAAACTAAACGCTTTGGCGATGGAAAATATGCGCGTTAGCCTTCCAGTACTCATCGATCGCATTCGTCGGCATTATGGCCAAGAATTCCTCTATCAAATCCATAAAATCATTGGATCGGCTGATTTCTTGGGTAACCCGGTTGGACTGTTTACTAATATCAGTTCTGGTGTGATGGATGTATTTTACGAACCATATAACGGAGTTGTTATGAGTGGACCGAACGAGCTCGGGTTTGGAATTGCGAGGGTAAGTAAGAGGAAGAACAAGATATCAGATTAGAGAACTTGGTGAAGTAGATTATCGCTCTCGTTCATTGATTATATGATATAGCGATTGTCCTAGTACTATTGTCATATCAAACTATTACTCACTTAACCCACCTACCCCGCATTTGCTCTTCACCTTAATTACAGGGAGGTCTCAGCTTTGTAAAGAAAACCGTCTATGGTCTCTCCGATAGCGTTGCCAAATTTACCGGTAGTATCGGGAAAGGACTCTCTGCTGCGACATTGGATAAATCCTATCAAGATCGTCGCCGTATGGCACAATTCCGAAATCGTCCCAGACATGCACTCTATGGCATCACCCAAGGGGCAAATGCGCTTGCAACTAGCGTTGGAAGCGGCATTGAAGGATTGGTTAGGAAGCCGATCGAAGGTGTTGAGAAAGAAGGAGCAGCTGGCTTGTTGAAGGGTGTTGGAAAAGGAATTGTTGGGTAATTTTTGGGGCTGGAAGGCTTTGATGGTTGAATACATCCAGGTCGTGTGATTAGGATATTGACTTGATTAAATGTGTTTGTAATATAGGTTTGTTACTAAACCAGTCGTCGGTGTATTTGATTTGGCAAGTAATGTTACTGAAGGTATGTATGGCTTATTTCAAAGGAAATGACCACGGACTTTATCAACATTGCTAATCAAATCCTTCTCTCGACACAAGGTATTCGAAATACAACAACCGTATTTGACGAAGGCGAATTAACTCCAGTTCGACCACCTCGCTTTGTTGGGCGCGATGGTATATTAAAACCTTACAATTGCCGTGAGGCTGTCGGCCAACGAATGCTTAAAGAACTCGAAAGCGGCAGATACTTTAATGATGATTACCTTGCTCATATTGAGCTCAAAGGCGATGATATGATAGCAATGCTTACTCGATCACGAATAATGCTTATTAGGAGTAAGCGGTTGAAAGTAGAATGGGAAGTGCAGTTTTCGGATCTTCAGGCGGTTTCAATGCAACCGTCAGGGATTTTGCTGATGTTGAGAAATGGAACACCAGGACCGTTTATTCCTATTGCAGATCAAAACGTGCAGCATTGGTTCGAGAGAAAAGTAGAAGAAGTTATTAATGAATTTAATGCCGAGAAGAGATTAGCTGAATGTTATTAATCATAATCCATTATTATTATATTATATATCTTTTTATTCAAATAAATGATTGACAATTGAATTAGTGTCAAATCTAATTGGTACTGTGTACACGTGACTGCTATCAAAATGCAAATTTTTTAGTTTCAATAGTTACGCGCAGCTTGCAAATTGTTACTGTCCATCAGAAGTCTCTCTTTTTCTTAGCGAGCAATAGACTGAAGAGCTCGCTACTGTTATCCAGTCCAGTTTACTCCGTTATGTGCATAGTGTTACAAATAGACTGCCAAAATGGTACGTAGTTTATGGAGGATCTGGAGATTACTGTATACGCGTATAGATCTGTGGGTGCAGCTTGACAGATTTCTGGTGCAAATTATGACGGATTGCAATATGTTATTGACTTGAAATTTATTACTAAACTGCAGATTACTGGTACTTCGCTATAGAATAGAATGTCGTTCTTTATATAGACAGTAGTATTCGTTTTCCCAAAACTTGCCTTCCGTTCACTCTCCGCCGTCTTCTCACTCATCATTTGTTCACGTCTTCACATAGTCGATCTCAAAAAACTCCAAAATGCTTAATCTGATTAACTACCGTCTACGAATCACACTGATTGATTCGCGAGTATTGACGGGTCAGATGCTTGCCTTTGACAAGCATATGAATCTAGTATTAGCAGATTGCGAAGAATTTCGAAAGATCAAGCCAAAGTCAGGATCGAAAGTACCACAGGGACAACCTGAGCAAGAAGAGAAACGGACATTGGGATTGGTGATTTTGAGGGGAGAGACTATCGTTAGTTTGAGTGTCGAGGGACCGCCACCACCCAGTGCTGATGAGTCAAAAGGAAAGTTGGCACAGGTACGTGCGATTACGTTGCGTTGATAAAATCCCGTGTTTCGTAAGATGAAATCGTGTTAATATTGATCTGCGAATATTCAGTTACCTGGTGGACCAGGTGTTGGTCGGCCAGCCGGTAGAGGACTGCCTGTTGCTCCGCCGGGAGTAGCGCCTGCAGGTATAATATTGTCGTTATTGTCCTGATATTATGTAATTCTACATAGCCGTAGTTTTACTATGAGTATAGCAAACATTTTATCCAAGCTTTTATTCTAATCAACTATTATATTTCAACTTCCAAAATAGGTCTTACAGGTCCAGTACGCGGAGTTGGAGGCCCCGCACCAGGAATGATGCAACCAAGAGGTCCAGCACCTCCTGCTGCTGCTGCGGCACCCGTATCGTACGGCAGACCACCCATGCCAGGGCAGATGCCACCGCCCGGAATGCCACCGCCCGGAATGCCACCGAGACCGGGGATGCCGGGTGGGCCTCCTATTGGATTCAGACCTGGAATGCCACCAGGAATGCCGCCTGTGGGAATGCCTGGATTTAGGCCACAGGGTGGTGCTCCACCTCCAGGAATGCGAGTGGTAAGTAATTGACCCTTGCACCCGGCTTTTTGCGAATCCGTTATTGTTAGACGCAACGAGTGAATGAAGATATAATTTATTTGCCTTGAATGATGACATTGACCAATGTACTAACGATGAATCCTTTGAATTTAGCCCGGTGCTCCACAACAATTTCCACCACCTGTTGGTGGCCGAGGAATGCCAGCGTAAATATCTTCTTATATTTTCACAAGTTTATCCATGGCTTAAATATTGACCACTACCATTTCATTTTAATATCAGTTTTCCTGTACCTGGGCAAGCGCCACCACAAGGATTCCGACCTCCTCCACAAATGCGTCCTCCTCCTGGTCAACAAAACCAAGGCCGTGGACAGTGATATTAGTAAGTTGTACGAAAATGATTCGTCAAATAAAGGTTGTGCTGTGTATTACTACTAAACTTGGTCTTGTATAATACTAAAATATGTGTCAACGAAGCGAATATGCGTGTTTAACCTTGTGATATAAAACTAGAGAATCTTTTTGACAAGAAATGATGGCCAGGAAGGTCAGTAATAAGATATATTCATTAATAGAACTTTTCGTACCTAATCGTAAGGCACATGCAGCAAACCGTCTGTAGATGTCAAAATTAAAATGTGAATCGCACAAACACTAGAAATACGCGATCTTTATCGAATGGTTAGTCCAGCATTCCAATGCTCGTAAACGCAAGCCAGAAAGGGTGTCGGCTTCAAAGCTTGTAACATGAAGAGATGTGACACTCAATAGTCCGGCAGAATGCATTTGCTTCACAAGTGTCCGCAAGATAATGGTCCAAAAGCACAAGCCGTGGAAAGGAAACCTACTTATTTCATCAATGAAAATAACTTCTCTGACGTAATGATCGTTTGAATTCAGCGATTCGTTGTGCCCAAATACTACAATTTATGATTATTTATATTGTATTAGTAATTAACAAACTTAAGGAGGTGACACATAAAAACATTAGTCAACGTCTAAAAAAAGCACAAATTAGTTCCTAGAAACTCCATGGAAAGATATGGCAGGAAATACTGCAAGTGTAGACATTGACGTCAGAAGGTTATACAACCAACATTCTTTTGTTGATGAAGTACTTTCTCAGAGTGAGAAGGATTATTTCAGATGAATACTTGCTAAAGGCGAGACGTATATTGAATGGCTGCAGCTGCTCTCTGAATAGATGCTCGAAAATTTTATCTGTCGTTATTCGCTCAAATTTTAAAATAATGCAACGTTCAAGAACTTACATGTTTAGAACTTTTTGGCTGCCGAAATGGACGGGCGGTTTATTCTGGATTATCAAAACGATTCATGACAAATTCTGATAGGCTTTGCAGTATTTTTTTTTTTTGAAATATCTATTATTAGCGACGGACGAAGATGGCTCTAGCCTTAACTAGCATCTTCCACTATAAGTGTTCGTTGGTATGCCCGAAATAAACTCGATTTCTACCAGACAATTAAAACATTATCATCGTCTCAAGAAATTAATTCTTTATCAGAATTAGATGAAAAATAAAGTTGGTAACCAATCGTCGTATAGACATCCAATGTAAGAGAGGGCGGGATGTAACAGTGGGAAATCCCACGCGTTTTATAAGGTAAGGCGTGTGTGAGGGTTTTAACTGTAATACCAAATTCCATTTCACGTGCTGATAACAATTACACAGATAAATGATTATTGTATGCATGGCGTTAAGTCACACGCTACACCAACTATACCATCTATTTCCGATAATAAAAAGGAGTTCTACGATATTCATCTCTGCTAATCGGGAGTAGGTTTGTTGCTCTACCCGTTTTCGCTGTCATTATTATCACCATAAAAAATGGCGGCTATACGTTGTACGAGTCTGTTATGCTTCATTCTACTCTTTTCGGCTCTCATCTTCATTAATGCGCAATTCGTCAATCAGGATTACGCGTCCTCCACTCAATATACTATCAACAAATTACAAACAAAGATAAATACTATTGAAAATAAATTTAAAAATAAGTTGGAGGACTTGAGACTCGAGTTGGAAGCTCTTGAGCATAGTCTGCAAGAACCGTTGGATGATTTGGAAAATAGTTTTGAGATACTGACACATGACGAGTTTCCTGAGTATTCTATCCGATTGAAGTTAGGATCGTTGTGTGATAATACTGTTAAGCAGGTAAGATATGCACATTTACATCTCTATATAGATAATGTGTATGCGTGTGTGGTGTATTCTATAATAAGCATGCATTGTACTGTATCTCTACTGTCAACTGCTACTGTTGGTTATTTGCTCACTATTCTTTTACTTTTTTTAGTACACTGGTTATCTTGATGCCGGCAATAATAGACATTTCTTCTTCTGGTTCTTTGAGTCAAGAAGCAACCCCTCAACTGATCCAATTGTCTTATGGGTATGTTATTACATCCAGTCGATTATAAGTATGCTCATGGATTTTCTTCTAACAATATATGTATACACATTGTCAGCTGAATGGCGGCCCTGGATGCAGCTCTTTGACTGGATTGTTTTTTGAATTGGGTCCATGCACCGTCAATGCTGAAGGAACCGACGCAGAATTTAATCCTTATTCATGGAATAATAATGCTTCGGTCATATTCTTAGATCAGGTAGAGCAAATGTTTTCTCATGTGTTTCCCTACTGTTTAGGCCTAAGCTTAACGTTGACATTTCCAATGTAAACACAGCCAATGAACGTTGGATTTTCTTATGGTAATGGAGTAACCAATACTAATGCTGCAGCTCAGGACGTGTTGGCGTTTCTCCAAATATTCTTCAACAAATATCAACAATATGGCCAATTAGACTTTCATATTGCTGGTGAATCGTAAGTCAGTCTATTGTACATGAATGATATAGACGTTATAGTATGGAGCTTATAATAACATGATTTGCTTCAATCACCTAGTTACGCAGGTCATTACATTCCGGCTATCGCATATGAAATCGTCACTCACAACCATGCCGTTGCCGGTATCCATTCCGGATGCACCGAATACGATATCAAGCCAAAAACCAGTAGTCTCATCAACTTTAAATCTATTCTTATTGGCAATGGTCTTGTTGATCCTCTTGTTCAATACAAATACTACCCTGAAATGGCTTGCAATTCATCGTATCCCCCGGTACTCGACGACGATACTTGTGATAGGATGAGATCGGCGTATCCCAAATGTGCTCAATTCATTAGCAACTGTTACAAATCAGAGAGCGTATTTAGTTGTCTACCTGCTTCAATGTACTGCAACAAAGAGATGATGGGTCCATATCAGCGGACCGGGAAGAATCCTTACGACGTCAGGAAAGATTGTGAAGGGAATAGCCTATGTTATCCTATCCTTGAGTCTATCGAGAAATATTTGAACCGAGAAGATGTTAAACGCGAACTCGGTGTGGACCCTGGCATTCGTTATAAAAGCTGTAACCATGACGTTAACTTCAGATTCTTGATGGCTGGTGATTGGTCAGTATAGATATGCATATCCCTAACTTGAATTCTAATATGTCACCCGTGAGCATAAAAACTGACGTTTTTCTTTATTAGGATGCGTCCATATCATCAACTAGTTCCCAAATTGCTGGAATCGGGTATTCGCGTCCTCGTATATGCAGGTGACGCCGACTATATCTGCAATTGGATTGGCAATGAAGCATGGGTAAGGGCAATCGAATGGTCTGGTAAAGACGCATTCAACTCCGTCAAGGATGAAAAATGGATTACTGAAGACGTATCCAGGACATGGGCTGGCAATGTCAGAAGTTCAGGATTGCTAACTTGGCTTAGGGTCTTCGAGGCTGGTCATATGGTGCCTTACGACCAATCCTCAAACAGTTTAGACTTCTTTAATCGTTGGATTCAGAAGAGAGAGTTGTCTGTATAACCTATACGCCTGTACCGATTTATTTATTTTATAATATATTTAATAAATTGTATTCGCCGTAAATAAACGCACATTCTGTGCCGTTAAGAGTCATTACAGCAGTGACTGACTGGTTCATTGTTCTCTTTAAATATCTACAATCCTCCCCTCAATTCACTAACAACCATTCGCATCCGATCCTCACTCATGACCCCAAATTTATAAACCTGCATAACAAAACTACCGGTACCAGCCGTTAAACTCCTCAACGCGCTTCCGTATCCTAGCATTTTTTCCAATGGTACTCTGGCATAGACTACTCTCCTTGGCTTTTGTATATCAACGTAATCATCACTTTGATAAGTCCCGTCAGGTGGTGCATAGACCTCTCTTTCTTCTATATCACTCATGTCACTTTGCCCTGCAGTTTCGAGCGATAGAATATCTCCACGACGAACACCGCTGAGATCACTGACGACTACGCCGAGATACTCTTCAGGAATCTCAACGGTAACGTTCATCAGTGGTTCGAATAGCAAAGAGTTGGAGCGCTTGAGAGCTTGGGATAAAGCAAGGGATGCACACGCACTAAGGGCTGTCTTAGATGACTCGGTACCGAAAAGGCGTAACGAATGAACTTTGACGCGAAGATTTATCAATGGAAAGCTGAGAAGTGGGCCACGGTATAGTGCAGAAACAAGACCACTGCGAATTGAAGTTGCAATGTCTTCGGGTGGGAGTGATGGCCCCTGTGTGGGTGTTTGTGTAGGAGAAGACTGTTGCGATAAATCAAGTTCAATGCGATTTCCTCCTTCTTCTGCTATTCCAGAATCACCCTCTGTTAATCTGCTAATATTCAGCGACATCTGAACTCTTGCTCGTTTACCCATAATTTCTTTATCGTACAAACAGGTATGCTCAATCTCATCGATAATACTCTCCCTATACGAAATTCGCATCTTTCCGATTTCTGCCCTGACTTTGAAGTCGTTCAATAACCTGTCTCTGACAATTTCCAAGTGAAGCTCTCCCATCCCACTAATTAGCGTCTGTCCAGTCTCTTCGTCATTGATGACATGCAAAGAAGGATCTTCTCTTAACACATTTTCCAGTGCCTCTTGTAACGGCTTCTCGTCCGATACTGTTGCCGGCTCAACAGCACAGACAAATACAGGCGCAGGTATCTCTATACTAGGAAGACGGAGTGATTTACGAGAATCGTTAAATTGAATTAAAGTGTCACCAGTACGAGTGGATTTTAATCCGACAAGCGCACAAATGTTGCCAGCGGTTATGCACGGGATTTCTTCAGCATCATTGGCATGCATCTTTAATAGTTTGTTTACACGCTCGTTCGTTTTCGTGTTTGTGTTATAAAGCGACATGCGATTGTTTAAAGTACCTATAGGGATAACCAAACCTTATGAGTGAGCATGTTTGCGTATCAAACATATTATTATATTATGTTCCCAACCTGAATATACACGGACAAAAACCAATGATCCTCTTCTATGATCATGAACAACCTTGAATGCGAGAGCACATAAGCTCTCCTTCTCCTTTAGCGGTATTACAGTGTTTTTCCCATTTGCAAGAGTTCCTATAGGCGCCGCACAGTCAAGAGGCGATGGCAAGTAGTCCACAATAGCATCGAGCACTGGCTGGACGCCACGGTTCCGAAAAGACGCCCCGCAAAATACGGGAACGGCTTTACCACTAAGCGTCACTCTTCTCAAAGCACCTCTCACTTCCTCAGCCGATACCTTCATATGATCTTCTTCGGCAAGCATGATCTCCAAAATATTGTCATCCATCTCAGACAACGCTTCAACTAGGTTCATTCTCCCTTTCACTGCCTCATCGTAAACACTCTTATCACCATATTTCTCGGTCAACTTTATCCTCTTAACGATATTACCATTGACATCCTGATCCCAATCCAAGACATCCATTTCTACCAAATCCACGGCACCCCAAAACACATTTTCTCCACGAGCATCTTTTTTCATGATAGGAATCTGACACACCAACGTCCGTGTCCGCAACTTTTTGGCAATCTGCCGGACAGTTCGTCCAAACCTGGCCCCAACCCGATCCATCTTGTTTACGTATGCAATTCGAGGTACGTTATACCGATCGGCTTGGGCCCAAACAGTTTGCGTTTGAGCTTCGACACCAGCAACGCCATCAAGAATAGTGACAGCACCATCGAGTACGCGGATGCTGCGCTCAACTTCAATGGTAAAATCGGCATGGCCTGGGGTATCTATAAGGTTAATGCGGTAATTGCGCCAGGCAAAGGTAATTGCAGCGGAGGTTATGGTAATACCGCGTGCGCGTTCTTGTGATAAGTAGTCCATAACCGTGTCTCCATCATCGACATCTGTTCCGTGACAAGCGGAATAGAGGATAAATGAAGACGGGAGGAGAAATGTTTTGCATTGCGGCAATGATTATAAATGAGCGCTTGAATAAAAGATAGGAAATCGGATAAAGTGTGAAGGCATGATTTACATTAATGTTTTGGTAACTTGCCCCCTATTCGTCTTGTAAGTCCCGCATAGTGCAACATTCGTTCTGTGGTAGTCGTTTTGCCTGAAAGCCACAGTTTGCTACGTTAAAGTCATATTGGTAATGTTGTGGATGTGATTGAAGCTCGTAGATACCTGCATCTATATGCGCGATAATTCCTATATTTCTAATACGTGAAATGTCATATTCTTATGTTTTGGTGAATTATTTATTAGTTGATAAAAAATTCTTGGCCGACGCGAGCGAGGTCATTGTTCTAGTACCTTCACTTGACATTGAATATGATCTCACAAATCTATAGTATCGTTCATGCGTTGATAGCAATGGTTGTAGCCTATTCCGTCTTAGAGCAGAGAGCTTTATGCCCTTCAAGATAAAATGCCCCAGTAGCATTTGGTGGTCAAAAGTCTCGAAAAATAGTAGTTAAAAAACTCAAACACGTGACGGATAATCATTCATTATTATCTCGAATTATTATCTATACTCGACAATCATGTGATTTTTTAATTTTAATTATTAATAATAATGATAATAATAATAATAATACTGTATCACGCAATACGCGAAACAGACTTTAAAACTATTCTTCTATACAAATGACAACAACAAAGAGTTGTTAAATACAAACGCGAAATTCATACACAGTGTCACATATAAAGGAGGTCATTGCCTATGCAAAAAACAATGGAAATCTTCGCCGCGCAAGTCTTAGTGATAGTTGTCAAGTTCTTTAAAACGTGTAATATTTCAAACGATTTGGACTCTGACGATGATGTTAATAATAAGATAATAATCAATTGAATACATTTATAATGGTAAATTATTTGTTCTGAAGTATTGCTTATTTTCGGGTATTGCTTATTTTCGGAAGAATACCGACATTTTCAGGCGTCATATTTAGTATCAATTGCAATATTTTAAGCGCAGTAATCATTACGATATTCGTACATCTATTTGTTACTGATTAGTATAATTGCTTTATTATATTCAAATAAAGATATTATTCACATAAGTCTCATTGTACCGAATATTGCTTGACCTTAGGGGCCTAACTTCGTTATATATAGAGGTACCTCGCATCCCCGACACTTCGGGTTTGACTGTACAGTTGACTCTGCCTTATACCGAACCTGGATATACCGAACTTTGAATATACCGAACTTTGAATATACCGAATCAGAATCACCAGGCCCGATTTTTCCTAATCAATAAATCCGATTATAACGCAAGCTCTGGTTATAACGAACTAAAATTCTCCAGCCGGTCAGTTCGGTATAGGCAGCGTCAACTGTACTTGAGAAAAAAAGATCTAGAGACTTTGCGAGAACATACGTCACCAATACCCGGTTAACCGTGTCTTATAAAATTGCACCCTTTGAAATAGAATATAGTGAAACTGTTAAAAATTCGGCATTACAATATGCAAATATGGAAAGTTCGTAGATGCGGTAAGTTTCTCTTTGCAGACTTAATCTATTTGAAATATTAGGCGTTTCCCACAGATATATAGATTGGTTAACTAATATTGATAATTCTTTAGACCGTGATCATTCAGACATCATCTGTAAAGGTACTTCAAAACGCAATATTACACAACACTCGTCCACCATCGACTCTGTTGCCGTAAGGCATATGACATTATGTCACGGACAAAAAACATCGTCGTCCACTCTCTGAAAGCCGTGAAGGTGTCGTAGGCACTGTTGTTGTTGATAGATATGATGCGGGGTTTGTGGTATGGGAACGAGGAAAATATTACAGTCAAAGCTGGCTATAACGAACTTCGGTTATAACGAAGATCTGTTTATAGCGAAGATTTTCTACCGACGTGAGCCTATTCGTGGCTTATTATTTGTTCCGCGCACGAGGAAAATAATTTTAACCATTTCGACAACACGACATTGATCAAAAATCAAGTATTCTGTTGAAAGAAAGAGAACATTTGGGATTTAATTCGATTTTGCTCAATTATGGCATGTGGGAAACCAAGCAAGCAAGATCAGAGGACAAATAAATATATACATATTCAAACTCGATATAATAAAGTCGACGGGCTGGGGGTAATGGTTTAACTATAGAGGTTTTATTTTGTCGAGGATTATATGTATACAGTCGTACCCCTTTATAAGCACCTCTTATATAGTCACCACCCCCATGTAGTCACACTTTTGTTGGCACCGACCGATTTTATAATAAATTTACCCCTATTTAGGCACATTTCGACTATAGTCACTATCACACTCTTCCATGGCACGGGCTAATATCAGATATATGTAAATTTCCTCCTGTTTAGTCACATCACGTGAACAAAGTATTTACAGACATGTGATTATTGTCTATCACTATGTGTAAAGATTTTTGGCGTTGCTTCTTCACTCAAAAAAAATGTCACAGAAAACAACAAGAACATCCATCAGTGATCTGCTTAAAAATGAGATTTGTATTTTTCATATGCATAACAAGACTTTTAAACAAAACGAAGAAGTAAGACAACCGGTGTCTAATACGGAGGCATTAATCCATCTGAAAAGCATCATTCGATATCAGGAGCAATCAGCTGACGAAGTGTTTACCCCGAATGAATTGACTGTTCTTCGTCGTAAGATATCTGTTCTCGAATGTTTGATAGATAAGAGTA